AGTGTGAGAAAGAATCGGAGAGGAGAGAATACAGTCACGTCACTATGTAGCTCTGGCTCCTGTGTCATTTGTTCCGGGTACGTACATCTACAACATCGGCGGCCATCTTACGAACTTGTAAGGGTCACCCATCGAGACCGAGGTCACTAAGCTACTATGTCTTCGTCTTTGACCTTGACATACCCTTACACTATCAGCCAGTGGTACCAAACCAGCCTCAGCTAGCAGGGTTTCTGTAGGAACACGATCTTTGAGTGTTCGCCCTGTGATAATCCTGGCTGCACGATTTAACAATCTAGACAATTGCAGTGTCTTTGATTTGTTACAGTGTAAAAGCGATAGTAACCATGAGGTATCACAATAATCTAGGTGTGTGTATAACAAGGTACGACACATGACTTGAAGAATCTCCTTAGTAACAAAGGGTTTAGCCCGGCTTAAGGCACTAAGTCCAGCAAGGAGCTTCTTTACAACTCTCTCGGCGTGTCCTGACCAGGTTAGAGAGGAATCCATAGTGACACCTAGATATGTAAAAAGGTTAACCTGTTCGAACGAGTTAGACCCATCAGTTACAGTGATGTTCTTTCCTGCATGCCGCAGTTTCTGAGGTGTTCCAAAAACCATGGATTTAGTTTTGTCAGGATGAAGTGATAGCATGTTTTCAATAAACCAGTTGGCTACCGATTTCATATCCTGTGAAACAATTTCCTCACATTCCTTTGACAGGCTTGCCGAGTAGTAAATCACTGTGTCGTCGGCATACATATGGAGTTTACACTTCTGCACAACTTGTGGTAGATCGTTTACATATAAACTGAATAACAAGGGTCCTAAGACACTCCCTTGCGGGACACCACATGTGACACGTTTTAGCGTAGACTGCTTGTTCTGTATATCTACGTGTTCTATATAAGTACCTAATACGGGCTGGTATTAGGTACTTTGTAGCTGGGACGTCCACCACGTTCAAACTGTGCTGAAGGACTAAGGACACGGACATACAAGTGCTTTAGAAGTTCTCAGATTTTATTCACCAAGAAAATGTAAATCACACTATCAGCAAGTCCATGGCATAAATTAATGCAAAGATGAACAAATCAATAATCTACATCACCAACAGAACATTAACTTACAAGTACACCTGGAGTTTAGAACTTGGTATCAAGAATGAATCCTGTTTAAAAACACTGTACTGCACATGTGCTACACGAGTTTCGGATATTTTATGATTTGGTTGTACGTGTAGTATATAAGAGGATGACATATAAAAAGTTGCAAATTAAGTTAATACACACCAAAATGACTATTTAACTCCAACCACTATCTTTGCATATTTTGACCAATTGAGCTATATATATGCTCTAGGTACACTATTCAAGTACATTAAGATGCGTTGTATCTCTTGCTACTTAATTAAAACAGTACAACAACGTAAGCCTTAAAAAACAAATCAAAATATTTTAAAATCTATAAACCGCTATATTTGATTTTGGTACAATTTGTAAGAACTACAACAAAACATAAACATCGACACCTCAGACTTACTAGTGACCACATCTACTGATAATATGTTGCCTAACAGGACCTTGCCAAAAAAAACAAAGAATATGCGTGTCATAATATGTCCGTTATCTTTAAGTTATTTACTACACTATGTTAGTTAAGCATACAAAGGAACACCAAATATGTAACGCCACACTGTTACATGCTAACTTAAAGATGTTTAAGTGAAAACTACATGGTGTAATGTGCTGGTTTATGTCTTTACGTAAAAGACTGGCAATTGTTGACGGGTAGACTCAGGGATAGCAGATAAGTTTGCCCAGGGTGTAATACCCTTCTTCGCGTGCATCACCAGCATCCCCAAACCTGAGCTGGGTGACAGGCAGGTCATTCTTGTGGGACAGGAACCCAGAATCCTCACGCCATGTGTAATCATTGGCATCACAGTTACATCTACGAGAGCATGTGCCTGTTGGACAACGTAATAAGGTCATGAAGAGGTTTTGCTTCTGTTGATTTGGAAGGGCTAGCCCTCACAACAAGAACATAAACAATTCGGCACAGGTAGCAGTTATTACATATGTTAGAATATGTAGATTAAAAGAAAAACTATCTATACATTCTGTGATTATGTTTACCGAAGGAAAACATATTGTTTTTCCTCCATTTCTTCTTCTTCTTCTGTTCCTCTGACCTGGCCAATGGCCTCTTTTGTTGACGTCTGTCACTATAGTAACTGGTGTTGGGTTACAAAATGTTGCAATCTCATAGTAGGCATTCAGGGTCCGGCATTTAGACTCTTGTCGCCATATACATGTATGTGAATGTGTTTGAGTAAGAATTAACAAAGCAGCCCATATCCGAAGGTAAACATTATGCATTTGCTTTGCAAATATTAATTTTTCTAGTTTGTCAATAAATATTTGTGTATAATTAAGCGATCTAGCATTAAATTCTATTGATAAGAAGAAACAAAACATTTTGATACGTATGTTAATATTTTCAGATGGTGATCCTGGTGATAATAAATAGTGCCCTTGTACTGTTAAATTGCAATAAGTTTGTATGTTGCAGGTTGCTGATTTATAATTACCTGTTTGTCCACAGGCACATTTCCCGCTCCCAGGACTGGCACCTCCCCAGTAGTCAGCCTGGCGACCGTCCCAAGTCACCCACCAGGCAAAGGGTGTGCCATTTGAGTCCCAGATATGTGAATGATGGCATTCATACTGGAAAATGTGAATTTGTATAATTCTGAGCTAAATGTCACCATGGGGTTTGCAATATCACGTATATAGCAACATATAATGTCTTGAGTAAGGTATTGTATCATTGTTTAAAAAAATATATACATTGTAATATATATCTGCTTATCATCCATCTTAAGCCCTGTTCAGCTTGTACCCTACTGACTGTAACTGGTACTTGTTAGTACTACTGGGATTCTGAAAGTTGGAGCAGACATACGTTAAGCACAACCGCATATCAGGCTCACACATGTTACATGTATGTCTGAAATGTAATAATTATGAATAAAATATACCTTAATGAGCTGTTTGCATAGAGATGACTGGTCCACCACAGCTCTCACTTGGTCCATACTGTTCCAGTATGTCACATCCTTGGAGTAGCTGCCTGGAGCCTCAACCCCATCCACATGTGTCCGTGCCTCACTGTCGTGGCCAATCAGCGTAATTGCTGAAATTGTTATAAAGTGTTCAAATATCAGACTGTGCAGTTATTGGTAAATCTTATCTATTTAGCCTGTGTGAACATTATCATTACGGTTAGAAGCCTAAAATTTACACGGTCAATTACCTAAAGTTTAATGTTTTTATCTCCATGAAAAATGGAGGTATTGTTTTTGGCGCGTCTGTGTGTCTGTCTTTCTTTGTGTTTGTGTTTCTGCACATTTGTAGTCAGTATAACTTCATAACGCCTTTATGGATTGTGATGATATTTGGTATGCTTGTAAGCAGTGTTCCCGCCAGGCATGCGTCCTTGCGTCTTTTGGACGCACTATTTTGGAAAAAAGACGCACTCTGTCCAGCTGAGTGCATCCAAAAAAAATCCAAGGGTGAAATGACCTGTGCCACCAACTTGGTGGAATCTTACAAAAACAACCCAGGTTGAAGAAGCAGTAAGCCTACTTTTGCGATCTGTACTTCGAGTCCTCCCCGCCCCTGTAATCTGTAATCCAGGTCCGGTGAGGAGCTCGGCACACGTCATGGGGAGGGGAAAACCTCAAATAAAGTAGGCACCCCGACTTTGGCGACGGCCTGAGACACTTTTTGTATTTTAAAAGTTGAAAATGTGGGTACTTTGTTCATAAATTTACCGTAACAAAGTTATTATCTTATTCCAATGATAGAGAATCGTTGCCAACAATATTCTAGGAAAAGTCACCAAGTTTGGCCGTTCTAGCGCTAGCCGTTCAAACTTTGATATTCATAATATATGCTAATTTGATGACGTCATTGGTCAAAATCCAAGATGGCGGACCATATTCACTTAACTTCACTTATGCCTGTACTGTCTGGGATGGTGCCATTTCGGTACAATATGATAAGATGCAAAGAATGCAGAACCGAATAGGAATTGATCTTGAAAGCCCCGTACAGAACATCATCACGGGAAGTCCTGTCTCGTCTGGGATGGAAGTCCTTGAGAACTCTACATCGTCAACATAAAGCCATGCTAGTGTATAGGGCCTTGGACAATTCTTTACCACCACACATGCGAGGGGTGTTCATCCGGTATAGAGATGAAGCCTCCAGATCCACCAGACAGAGCACATCGGACAACCTCATCATACCGAGGCCCCAACTGGAAGTGTACAGGCGGTCACTGAGGTACTCGGGGGCGACTGTGTGGAACTCCTTGCCACCACATGTACGTGCAGCCCAGTCATTGGGAACATTTAGAAGACTGATAACGAACTTGGACTGATAACGGACTGATGATTTACTATTTATTTTTGTATTATATTTTGTTTTGCATTTTGTTTTGATTTTGTATTATATTTTGGTTTGATTTGTAATCCGTGACCCCGCCCTCACCTTCGACCTTGTTGAAAAGCGGTCATATGTATTGTACCGAACAAGCTTTCGAGTTTAAATAAAGGCTTACTACTACTACTACTACTACTACTACTACTACTATTAGCTCTGACGTCATATGACGTCAGAATTACACCAAGTTTTTAGAATTTAATTCTATTAGTACATCATTCTCTAAAAAATTTGGTTGCCATAAGATGAGTGCAAAAACATATGAAAACGGAATAAAGTAATGTATAAGAACGCCAGTGTATCCATTACGATCGAAAGCTGGCCGGGGTCCGCGCGGACCCCAAAAGAATTTCTGCACAGAGTTTTCTGCACTGTACTGAGGGACAACTTTTTGGGTGACAATTATCTGAAATTTAAAAAAAACTAATTACAGAATAAATAGTGCTTGGGTCCGCGCGGACCACAGGTTTACTGTTTAGGGTTAAAGGAAAACTATGGACAAAAGCAATACCTCTGAAGTATACACAATCTAGATATCCGCAAAGCGATCACAAAAATAAGAATAACTTGTCATAAATTGAACAAAGACATGGGTCGATACCAGAAATGACCAATGATTCTGTTAATTTTGGTGGAAATGATTAAAAATGAACACCATTTTAGAATATATTTTACACTCTACAATGATAGGTGCCTAATGCTGTTTCCTTTTTTCACTTGTTCAATTGATTTCAATACGTTAGATCCTATAGTGAATTCAATTACTTTCTAAGGGGACATAACCAATGCAGAGTTCAAATGGAGAAATATATTAAAGAATGTTTCAATCTTAGAGACTACATGTTAGAGAATAAGTAAACCTTTATTGATACAACTTACATATATTCTGTACGTAATGTTTTGGCCGCTTACATGTATTCTGTAAATAGTTTGACGTTATCCATACTTTGTTAGATCTTCAGTTGTAGAAGACCATACGAAAGTCCCTGTATGTTTTTGTTGTGTCAATAGAGAATCTTTTTAAATGTCATTATGATATTAAAATGAGGTCTTTGCTTGGGGAAAGTCAGCGCGTCTTAGGTACATAGAGCGCACACGTGCACACAAACACCCCATGCAAAAACAACAGCTTTAATTTTTCATGAATGTTAAGATTAAAATACCAACATCCTACGCTGTATGAAATGCGCGCCATTAACCGAATTTGGAAACAGACATCGTACTGAACTAACTAATGGATTGCCTTTTCTCTCCGAAGTGACCTGGGCTTTATGGCACTTTTTTTTAATAAGGAACAATGTCACTCCCAAAAACCTAGAATGTCCAGGACAAAGATACAGAAACCGGAAGAACAAAGGGCAGCCATCAGGAGGACAGAAACAACTTTGATATTTGTCTTTGATCCAACATCTCCAACAAGTTATGCTGATAAAAAAAAAGGTGAGAAGAAAAATGGGCACAATGTATAGCAATGTGCGAAGCAACTCTTCTATTTAAAAAAAATTAAAAGTGCAAACGGAGATGTACATGTTTTTAAACTTACCTAATTGAGAGAGTTGGCAGATGAACTTCCTGTCAGCCACGGTACATGGTCCATCGTTCCATGTGTTCTTTTGGGGCCAGCTTTCGGGAAAGTACTCGGCACAGTCCTCTCTACTGTTGCTGGGTTGTCCTGGACCCCAAGCTCTGAAGTCGCCCAGAGGAACGCCATCGTCCCACATCCAAACTCCCTCCTGGTGGACATCAGTCAATCCAAAACGGAACCAAGCGTTGCGGTCGACGCCATTTTTTAGATCGATGAGGAACTCGTTGGTAGTGCTGTCCCGGGGTATGGCAAGGGTTCCCCCGTCTAAAGAACACCTACTGACTGCACCGTTGTAGGTTGTCCTGTCGTTGAAGGCCTTAAAGCATCGACGACTATGTTGATGGAAAACGTACCCATTTAGGCAACCTATTCCAGAACGAATAAGGTTATTATTTCAACTACATGCACTTCTGTTTGAAGCACTATGTAGACAATTGTAATTTTGATGTAAAATCACGGCGGTCAATTTCTAGGGTAAAATTTCCAATTCTACGGAGGGGTATCAGGTTACCGGGGTTCTACGCGCGGCTTCCGCGGAGCCAGTCTCAACGGTAAACATTCTTTTCAACAATAATAAACAGTTTCACGGGGACTCTCTTGTCCAAATGTGATAAAGTCCGCACTGCATATAGATCAAATGTTGGTGTTTTTATTACAATGCTTAAATGTGCGTGAAATCACTCTCAACGCGTCGAATGCTTATTCTAGAACAATCGACGTCAATAACCAAACAACTGATTTAAACCGACCCCAAATCTCTCCGAAAATTTCACATTTTTGCATTTTAGAGAACAGTATAACAAAGTTAAGATTTGAGTCGGACAGTTTTCTTTATTTCAAAGTTAAAGTGTTGCTATGGTAGAAAAAGTCGCCAAAAAATGCACTTTTTCAACTTCCAAGACGGATAATTCCAGAACGCCGCCATCTTTAAAAAATCCGTCCGACACAGATCGAGATTTTTGTCTTACCTACAATTTAAAATGTTTTTGAGGTAAATTGAATTTGTTTTTCTTGCGGTTTAAATACCCTGTTTGCACACATGTCAGGTCGTGTGAGTAAGTGCAGGGGGTAACTTATATCCCCGTAAACAACAATTACGATCTTCAAGGTCACACACGATGACGGCAGTAGCTTCGTTACATGTTACATATCCACTATAAAACAGGGCATAGATGTACTGTCCCGAAATTGGTTTATATTTGTGAAAAGGTGGATTTTTTACTGTTAGGCGGTAGCCGTGTAAAAACGGGCTTGAAGTCGCAGGTTTACTGTACATGACCGCGGGTAACCCCGGATCGAACGAACGTTCGGTTCGATTGACGTCATATCGAACATGATTCGATTCGAATGACGTCATATCGAACATGATTCTGTTCGATGAAAAGGTTGGAATATTTGGGCCCAAATTTGACCATCGTGAATGGAAATAGTGAATAATGTTAGTTTGGACGGAATGATTGCCGTTTGATTTCATGACGTTTTACCTGGCATATCAATGACATAAAACTTGACGTATAGACCTAAAAACGTTTTCAATGTACATAATTATGGCACGGAAATTGCAGACC